TTTCGTGTGGTGTGTACCACGCCATGTTCTATCGGAGGGTTCACTCTTATTTTACATCTCTAGCGAGCAGCAAATCTAGGCGCAATGTTGGAGTTAGGAAGCGGAGAAGAGGAAGTGGCAATCCTAGCCTGAGTAGCATTAGCCGCGCTTGTCGTTGCACGTCGCACCCGTCCCTTCCTCGTCTTGCTGCGGCTGTGATTAAACTGAGCCTGACCGTGCTTATGGCCAGGTGCAAACGGGACTCATCCTAGGAGTAAAAGAGAAGACTGTGAAGGAGGGATGAAGGATGGACGGAAGCATGAGAACAGCAGAGGAGGTGAAGGAGAAGAAAAGGTCTGGGACGCTTTCTTTGCACGGTATCTGCCATCGAGGTGTGTGGCTCGTTGCGTTCGACGGTCGGTGATTGTGCTGCCCTCACTGTAAGTGCTCCGCTTTCTACGCCTCGCATGATACAACATGCACCTGGTTGAGCCTCCAGCCAGGTTAGTTTCAAGATTGGATACGGTGAAGGGGAAGGGGAAGGCAGCGAGGAGTTGAAACAAAAAAAAAAGGACAAACAGCGGGGAGAGCTCGACGTCTCGGGGGAATGTACCTTCCCATATTCTAGAGGAAGGATCATTCTCGTCTTGTATGCACAAGGGAATGGTGGGGAGTACATCAACGAGGAGTACTGAGGCGGAGAGGAGAGGGAGTAAGTAAGAAGCGATGATACTTACCTGGTGGTTGTGTGCATTTTCTTTTTCCCTTTAAAATGTGCATGTATCTGGACGGCTTCGCGGTTAGGTGCATTCATGTGCTGGGGGCTGCAAGAGGGGGAGAGAGGGAGAGTACTCACCTGGGCGTGGTGGATCACAGTGGGGCTCCTTCGACTGAGCTCTGGCCATCTGAGCCCAACAACGAATTTACCCAGGTGTATTGAATTGAAGGCAGCAAAGGTGGAGTCGGGGAGTGAGAGAGGAGCTTATCCTGCCGTTGCTCTTGTTAGGACCTAGTTACTATCAGTCGCTGCTCTTCACGTGCTGTCACCGTGCCATTGTGGTCACTTTATGGGCTGCGTACTGTCCGCATGCTTGGGGCATAAGTGTTCTACTATTACTGGTGTTTCTATTTGGAAAGCGGTCTCTGCTGTCCGAGCGTGGGTTTTTGAGTTAGGTGTGGCTATGTGATTATTACATCTGCTGCTAATCAATACCGGTTTCTATTGAGGAGGGTATTCTGCTGAAGTTGCGGCCGGATTGAGGAGCTGTTGCTATTTGGAGGTTGCCATCACAACTTGGGGCTGTAATTTTGATTAACTGCTATTGCGCTTTGATAGGAGACAACTGCCGTCACAACAGGCTTTCACTGTTCATTGTCAGGTTGCTGCTAAGTCCATGATTCTTCACGGTGGGTGTGCTCTATTCTCAGCGCGTGGCTGCTTCCTACTGGCTCCTGCCCCTCAACTAGGAGCGTTGCTGCCTGCAGTCTCTGCAGCTTGCTGCTATCAGGCAACAGCAGATCGCAGAGTTGGAAAGTGACAGCTTTCAGCAGCAGTAGCCTGCTGGCCTGAGCCACTGCAGATCTTGATACTCAGCAATTGGCGCTCCCTACTACAGTACTGAGTTCACCTCTCCGGAAGCTGGGGTTTCTGATCATTTATTTCGAGACTGCTGCTCCTCACTTCCACACTGCAGTTTAGTTGCTTCAACACGGCTTCCCTCATTACCGCTGGGTTCTATTGCAGAGTGCTGCTGTTTTTAGAGTCGGACTGTTGCTGTTACGTCAAGGCTACTAGAGCAGTCCCTCAGCAGGCTCGCTGCTGCTTTTTGACAGCTGCTGCTATGACCCGGAGGCGGTTGTTGCTGTCGCACCCCTGCACTGGTTTTCAGACAATCGCTACCGTTGGTTAGCCTCTGAGTTGTGGAGGCTGAGAATAGTTATGGATTGCAGCTGCTGCTGAGAGTTGGAGGCTGCTGTTGCTGCTGGAGTTCTAGGATTGCTGCAACATCTGCGACCTGTTAACTTCGAGCTCTGCAACTAACCGCCATTGCGGGGCCCTCCGGACATGAATGCACCAAGGCCTTCTCCAGTCTGAGTGGGCCCTTCTTGTACCTTGAGAGACCAAGCTTACTCTTTCTGCCCTTCTTTTTTTTTTTCTTTCTTAATCCATGATGTAGTAAGGGGCGGGAGAGAAGGTTAACGGAGACCCTAATTTTCAGACCACTTGCCATGCCATTTATATGAAAACCAAAGGGTCATTTTAATCAAACTTGCCACCAAATTGTAGAGTGGAGACCATACTAACTAACTGCAAAAAAAAAATCGCCAACATCTCAATTTCAGAAATCTTGAGAAATTTCAGAAATCTTAACAACGGAAATTCCAATTCTCCAAATGACACAAAATTTGGCACACACCAACCTTGAACCAAAACAAGAACAGGCCAAAAAAAAAATTCAAAGAACATAAAATTTGACCCCGATCCCTAATTTCACAGTTTTGGACTCGTTACCCAGGGCCTGAGAGAAGGTTAACGGAGACCCTAATTTTCAGACCACTTGCCACCTTCTCTCCTGGCCATGGGGGTCCCCGTTAACCATAGCCAGGAGCCAGACATGTCCCTAAGTTGGGTGGTCTGGTGGTGTGCTTTATTTGCTCGTTTTCTGAAGGGCCATACATGTCCCTAAGTTGGGTGGTCTGGCTGCATGTTTAATTCTTTCAAACTGCGTGTTTTGTTGATTGATTTTGGGTGCTGGACATGTCCCTACATTGGGTGGTCCAGGGACATGTCTTCTTGGGAGATTGCTGAACAGAGGCCGGGCATGTCCCTAAGTTGGGTGGCCCAGACTCCCTGCCTTTTCTTTTTGTTCACTGAAAAGAACTGAACTCATGAACTGAGATCATTCGGAGTTGAATGAGCTCAGTTTCATGTTTCCTTCTGAGGGAGATTCAACCAAAGGCTAAACAAGTACCTAAGTTGGGTGGTCTAGTCATGAACCGTGAGCTAAGAGCGAACCTGAGTATAAAATATGATATTATACATATATGTTAATTGGTAGACTGAATATGTCCCTAAGTTGAGTGGTCTAGTGTGGCATACTGCGCACCACACGGGCCTGCAGGGCCCGACCAGGCGGAAAGTCAGGGCCCTCCAGGCCCTGTGTCGTTTCAGCCTAAAAGCCTAAAAAGGAGGGCCATTTTCAGGCCCTCATAAAGTCGACCTTTCCTGAAACTTAGGCGCCAGACCAGGGATAAGCGCAGGACACTTTTAAGGCCGTTTCAAGACCACCTTTTTTTGAACTTCAGCGCCAGGGTCTGGCACGATTCGGCATTGGCAAGAGAGCAGCCTCCCAGCCGGACCAGCACTATATAGTACTGGTCCGCCCTGCAGGCTGCAGGCAGTTGAGGAGGCAGGAGGCAGTCTTCAGGATTCGGCCGCAGCACTCTGCAGGAGCGCTGCAGTAGTTGTAGCTAGCGTTAGGAGTAGTCTTCAGCGCTGGGCGCTGCTAGGAGCTTAGAGGAGCGTTGAAAGAGAGAGAGAGAGAGAGAGAGAGAGAGAGAGAGAAGTAGGTCCGTTTGTCGATAGTGAGCATTGAAAGAGAGAGAGAGAGAGAGAGAGAGAGAGAGAGAGGGTGTTGTCGATAGCGAGGGCGTAGAGCG